AAAAACTTTCACGGGGCCGTACGCGTTACCCGCGGGTACGGGGAAGCTGAATTTTAATTTGCGGGGAAATACGTGGGTGAGGAACACGTGTTACCCGTGGGTACCGGGAAGCTGAATTTAAATTTGAAGGGTCACACGTGAGTGGGGAACGTCTTACCCGCGGGTACGGGGAAGCTGAATTTAAATTTGCGGGGTCACACATGGGTGGGGAACGTCCGGCCGTACACGTTACCCGTGGGTACGGGGAAGCTGAATTTAAATTTGTGGGGTCACACGTGGGTGGGAAACGTTACCCTATTCAGCGCTTTTCTAGCTTTTGTGGTTCCCGAGTTGAAAGTTGCGGACAAGTTGCTGCGGACACACACACACACACAGGCAACCCCGTGACAACATGCGTTTTGTACTGCTTTTGTAAAACGCATAAAAGCGTGGTCAGTTCCTTAATTCATGTTGCTCAATAGACAACACCTTTTACTTCAAAAAAATCAAAAAAAAGAATTTTGGCTGCCCAAGATCTCCAATTACATAGCAGATTGCAGATGTATCATCCATTACTTTCCAGAATCGGCAACAGCGCGTCGGTTGATAAACAAAACATCACGACCATAAATCCAAAGTTGACAAAAACGCATGATATCACAGGAAAAAAGTAAAACTTACGTAAATGAATAGATCACTCCGTCCGTTTGCTTAACAATATCCGTCAAAATACGTTCCGCGATCTCCATTTTCAATGAACTGCTTGTCTTCGAGAGCTTTTTGGCCTGAGTTTGTGTCGTTTCGCCGCTTTTCATAATTTCTTCTTTGACTGCCTCCAAATTTGCAATTGATGGGCCTCTAAAATATGATTTTTAGCCTCGGAGAGATTTGCTGCTTCGTATGTGTAGCGCTGCTGAGTGCCGTACAAAGTTACCAAGGAATAATTTAAGCTGTAGTCAAGTGGCAACGATGTTGTGCTGTGGTGCTGAGAGAAAACTCAATCAACTCAATGGACCGAAAAGTTCGCCAGTTCAACTGTAACTAATAATTACCAAGAACAAGTGATCCAAGACAAATGTTGCAGAAGCCGCGAGAATTCCTCCAAAATGGTTACAAGGAACTCGACAGCGAAAGCCCCGTATTTATGAAAATTCTACATGGTCTAATCCTTCTACAACACTTCTTCTGAGTGACAGAAGTTATGCAGAAGTGCAGAATGGGTGAAATGAGTAACAACTCGTAACAAGTAAAACAAGAATGAGTAACGACATAAGGAGTGAAGCAAATTTACACTTCCTAGCCGAAATAAAAAAGGGAAGACAAAAACAAAAGTTAGAATCATCCGCAGGCCGAGCATCAGGCTATGTAAGTTGATTGTAGCGTACAAGTAGATCCCAGGAGCTTAGGGAACGAAGACATGAATGAATATATGAAAATGGTGACTTACGACGTTTTGGTTCATTAAGTCATGTATGTCTTAGCTCAACACCACGACTGGACTTCATCAATATGACGGTCTTAGTGTTCAGGGAGGGGAAAAGAGAAAGAAACAAAAAGAAGACAAGAAAAGGAAAATAAAAAAAGGGAGATTAAAAAGGAAAATAAGAAAGAAGGATGTGAAGTGTAACTTGAGCTGTGAGGTGTAACTTCGGTTATAACAATCACCGGAAAAAAAGGGAGCTAATCTGCCTTGAAACGATGGATTATGATGAAATGATATCTAATCCAAAAAATTGTTTTCATAAGCTCAATTTGAATCAGATTAAGTTTTGTAGTGTTTAAAATTATGCCCCATTATGTTGTAAGCTGAATCTGCACTTCTACTCAAATCACTGTTAATTAATGTCACATAAAACATTGCCGGAAACATTGCAAATGCATTTCGCATAAAGTGATGATGCTCTGCACATACAAAAAACATGCCGATACGGGTAAAGCCTTGCAAGGCACTTCTGCTACAAAAATAGTACTTATAACTGAATATTCTGGTTAATTTTTCAAGAAATAAAACAAACTATAAAAGCCAGCAGCATCATGACGATAAAGCATTTGTCAAAACAACTGAAATATTGGGCTTCTTAGAACCAAACTCATTTACAGCACTCCAACAAAATTAACGTAACTGCACACCCATAAACTCTCAAGAAGTTAATTTTCATGAAATTAATATCAAGATACCAGAATACAAGACTTTTTGCATAATCTGAGTGGGGAATCCCATGTTAGTAATGTTACTACGATGCATCTGTACACACCACGGACAGTTATAGCTACGCAAGTGCACATCCCTATCCGATGTATGTGTCCATCTATCTCTTCACAGCCCGCTCCAGCATTCGCTAACTTTTTCGACTGCCAACGTTAGGCCTCCCCGCTGTGTAAAAGTATCTAGGCATGAGCAGCGAATGCTGGCAACGGATGAAGCGATAGGCCGGTTTGAGACCTCAGTGATGGTCAAAGCCGAGGTAACTCACTAATACCCAATATCCGCCGACTATTAATAAAGCAAGCAACATGTTCCCAAATGCGAAAAAATTGGTTCGCTAAAAACCTCTAACATAGTTGTGTAATTTACAATCGATTTTCATCGTGGCACCTGTGAAAATTAATGAGATTTCGGAGAAAAAAGCGGAAAAATTACAAAAGGCCGAATTTTTGTCAGAGTTTTCAGGCAAACAATCGAATACAAGAGAACACTTGAAAAAAAAAAACCCCGTACATGACATTGAAGCTGATTTCAAGTGCTTTCATGCCATTCACAACAGCACGGGCGCGTTCCTCATCCAGATCTTCTTCTGACCCACCAAGATTTGTTATGAGCAAAATATTGCGAGCCGTAATGTTACTTTCCGGATAGCAGCCCAAATGATCACGCATATAATCCAAACCCGCAATTAACGCGGCCAGAACTGAAAAAATTTTGATACATTGTTTCATTTAGTCCATTCATTCCCAATTTTCTGAGAATAATTCACAAAAAACTGAATAATGTGCCGCAAAAATCGGTTCGCTAGAAATCCTCAACATAATTATATAATTTATAATCGATTTTCATTGTGGCACTTTTGAAAATTAATGAGATTTTGGATAAAAAAAAAGGAAAAAATTACAAAAAGTTGAATTTTTGCTAGAATTGTCAGGCAAGCAATTCCCAAAACCATCTGCCGATAACGGTGAAAAATTTGATAAAAGCAAGTTACAAAAGAATAAAAAATAAAACTGCTAAAACGTATGCATGCAAAGGAGCCGACAATGCGACAGTATCACTGGCACATGTTTGCTGATGTGGCTGTATAAAAGCTATGGGAAATAATACATGTGAAGAAACTGACAGCGCCAATTTTTCAGTGGCACATGGATGCCAATGAGAATTTATGAAAAATATTGAAAGTAATGCGAAAGAAGTTGGCAACGGATGTGAAGAAGAGGCAACTGACAATCCTAATGAGCATTAGATCTGTCCGATTTTCGTACCTCTACTTCCGGTTTAAGATTCCACTTTTATTTTATTTATTTTACAGGTCCTACATCGGTTCAATATCCATAATGGTGGAGGTATTTTTTTTCTAAATGCACTTTTACCGTTTGCTCTAACCTTTTCACATTATCAAAATTTTCCTTTTTCTTTTTGACACTTTGCATGTTACTTTTGCTGCAACCGTCATACTGACGAGGTCCAGTTGCAACACTGAACAGGAATGTATGCGACTTAATGGACCAAAAAAATTCCTATTCAGGTTTTTTAAACCGATTTAGCTTATCACCTTCCTTTTATTCCCTTACTTTTAAACCCCTGCTTTTTACATAAACACACATCATCTAAAATTAAAATTACAGTCACGTGCTCATGAAATTAAAAAAGCTGTGAAAATTACACATTTGAAGTTATTATACCGGGTATAAGTAAGGGAGCGAAATGCATGGAGTAGCTCTCTACGATAATATAAACAGTCACACTCACCGTCAGATGAGCGGTGTGCAGGATATCATTACGACTATGCGAGAAAGTAAAATCCGACGGGCAAGACATGTCGTGCACCTTGCTGACAATTGATGGACGATGCGCATTAGTGAGTAGTATCCCCGAAAAAATAAACTGTCACTCAGGCGGCCTCCGAAAGGTAACGCAAACATACACAGAACAGGCAGTGAATACTAACAGGAGGTATGCAGTCTGGGAGCGAAGGGCCTGGCATAGCTGCGCTCGGCGTCTGGGAGCTCCCAATAACATCATTATCAAGGAATATTCACACCGATAGCCCAAGCGATTCTGGTAATTTTGGTATAACCAGCACAAATCGCAAGGAGTAGAAACTCGAAATTCATAGAGGTGA